CTCTCTCGTCAGAGAGAAGCGCCATGTACGCAATGCTTCCGAAGGAGCGGCAGTTTGGCCAGAGGTGGAGAAGTCTGCGAGCAACCAGCATCGCCAACGTGGCGGAAACGGGTGGGGGGAGAGCGGGGGGGGAGGGGGGCGGGGGCAATTCACAGAAGTAGGCCATCGAGAAACTGAGCGACCTATGTATGCATGATGTCTCACGGATTTGTGCGGCGTACTCGAACTTGTCCTTTTCGACTAAACCTGCCCTAAATTCCAGTCAGATACATCCATCAAAGTCTTCGCCAGCACAGGGTTCACTTAGTTACAGTCCGTCTGCTTTGGCTCATCATGCAGGTTCTGTACTGGAGTATAGATATAGACTTCGGGCTATAAACTAAGTCAACCAGGAAGTCTATAGACTTTGGGAGGTTCTTAGTCACATCTCTCAAGCAGGGGCAGGTTGCCCACATAGGTTTGCCTCAAAGACTTCCAAGTCACTAGAGTGAGGAAGGTACACTGAACATGGCGCCTATTTTGGCATTAATCTACGAAAACAAGTGAAAAATGAGACGTAGAGTAACGATAACCAACACAACTAATAATTTAATTAATATTAAATCAGCGAGGATTTCGCGGGTGGAAATTACGCAAGGACTTGTAAAGTGGAGACTCTGAGAGCAAAGACGGAAAAAGAGAGAGGGAGAGGGGGAGGGGGAGGGGAGGGGAGGAAAGGAGGAGTTAATCCCAGTATGTAGAATAGTGACAACCAATGAATGGCCAACTTCCTTTCAAACAAGTAGAATCAGTACACAGGATAAACTCACATATCTCACTCCTGGAGTAGAAACATTGGCAGAGAAGAGTAGAAACACTCGTGGAGTAGACAAAGCAATCATGGGATCTCAAGCAGAAAATATAGAAAAAAAAAGAAAAGGAAAAGAGAAATGACGAAAGAAGAAGAAGAAGAAGGGCCTCGCCACACGGCACACGAAACGATAACGAAACGAGTGCATCTGCCCACGAAAGGTGGCAAAATACACTCGTTACTATTTATATCAAACCGATGAACCTGGCCATTTTCTGATGGAAGATGCACTCGTTTCGTGTGCCGTGCGGCGACGCCCTTCTTTGCTTCGCAAGCCACACGAGATCAGTGGTCTGGGCGTTCACT